AATGAACGGTGAACTGGAGATGACGACGGGAAGTTGGCGAGGAGTTCTCTAAAGAAATTTATTACAATGTATTATATGAGGAGCAATTTGAAAGTCCTAAAGAATTTTATGGCTTACAGGATGATACGTATTTTATGTGCTTCTACGATAATTACGGCCCGGAAAGGAGCGTGAAAAATTCAATAATGTATATGTTATACGTTGATTTAGATTTACGTTGTGAAACGTTGATAAGAAATTAAAGTAACTGACAAATTTTCTGACATAGTAACTGCACTATAAATAACCAATTGGTTTCACGTTATTGAGATATCGTTTTATTTTCTTTCAAACTCGTTTGAAAGAAAGAGTGTTCTAGTTTCTTTAAAGCGTGGTCGGACGACAGTTTGACGGAGTATGCGTAAGTGCGGCAAGCAGGATTATACGTTTTGCCGCGACAAGACGATAACGACGCTTAATTGCATAAAGCAATATAGAAGGATAATAAAAGTGTCTGTAGAAGAGAGAAGATGGGGGAGGGGAGAGAAAGAGAGAGAGAGAGAGGAGCACTTGTCAGTGGACGCTTTCTCTTACCGCTTGCCACTCAACGCAATTTTCTTGTCAGCAAATTTCCCCTTTCCTCTCGTTAAACGAGAGCAGCGCAGCGTCTCTAACAGCTCGAAGTTTTCCTCGGTTATTTAGATGCCAATTACAATAATCGACGAATATTTCCTTTCCCAAGGCCCTGCCAGATGCCGCAGTTCTCGTCAATATCCGAGATGGAACTCGCCCCTTTTGAATTTACACCGCCTCTGTGTAATAAAAATTGTCTTATAATCCTGCAGCGTAAGATTTCCTCTTCATTTTATACAGGACTCTTTATTTTATTTTAAGGGAAAAGAATACTCTGAAAAAGAGTATGATCAGTTTTCTTTAAATACATATTTTTTCAACGAAAAACAGAATGTTCGATGCGCTGCACGCATCGAATAAAATTTCATACATAGGATAAATTGACGTGGAATACAATCAAACGAAATAGTAACATAACAAGTTATTGAAATAATTTTTGCCGTACACAAATTGTAGTCAGTGACGAAAAGTAAAATTGTTTGGTACATTGCCTATTTAAAACACAATGCCGGATTAACAATGTTACGTTGGAGAAAAAAATTGCTGTATAATTGCCGACAATAAAAGCGTTATTTCAGTGTTGTCTCCCGAAGAGAATATATTCTGTAGTTTTCAGCGAAAATTTCGTTTTGGATAATTCAGTTCCGGTCGATACGGAGTCGGAAGTTTTCAGGGAGCTCCCAGTAGATGTTAGGGGCACCCAAGAGAGGAGAAAACCAGGACTCGAAGCTTTCGAAGAAAAGTGCAACGGACGTTCTTTTGTCTTTCTCATGTCAAGTCTCGTTTACCGTTTATCTGTCGTGACTGTTTTAGCAAAGCGACCACTATAAAGACAGGAGCAAGGTTTTAGGCGAGCGAGCGATTTTCTTATTCGAAACCGTGAAAAATTTAATACCGCGTTCTACAGAGAACAGGATAAGTGACAAATAAATATATCAGTCATGGCGGGTAAAAGAAGTATTAGCTGTAAATAAAATGTCGCGAATTCAGAAAATGTACGAGACATTGAAAACGAACAGAATGGCTGTTTCTATTTATATATATATATTAATAATTTTCTCGTCGTATACAATTTAATGACAAATTGCATTATCCGTTTATGTATAGACAGAAATAAGTATAGATATGCAACGGTTGCGCGTATTATACCACGGGGAATTTAATATTAATCTTCGAGCTTCCATTTCCATCATAACATCCGACACAAAGGACCGCAATAATTCCATTATTACGGTTATTCGAATCAAATAATATTAGAGCAAGAGAAACTGGGCCGCGGCTGTAAAATTGCAACGTTAGGGTAGCGACAGGATCAATTACTTACTCCGATCTCTCCATTATTAACTCCTTCAAACCGTGTATGCCGATGATCAATGATGAATACGTGAGGGGAAATTTGTCGTGGACGTCGATATAATTTGAAATTTATTAATGCGCGACGAGCAGCCGGCGCGGCGGAGGCTGATATTTAATATTTATTAGATCGCGGCTGCGAATCCCGTTCACGCGGGCTCCTTTATAAATCCACCAGGTCAAAGGAACACCGGAGATTCTTTGCGGTTCGTTTTAGCTCTTCAATAACGGGCCGTGGCGAGATACGTGACGAGAGATTTTCCAGCGAGTTTTATGTCAGTGACCGTCGGTTCCGCGGCACGTGGACGTATCTGTAAACTCATTCGAATCGTTCCATATCAGTCATTGTGACAGCGACACGGCATTTAACCCCTCTGATATACCATCGTGCACGGAGAGAATATTGTAGGGTAAATTGCGTAAAAAATATTTTCCACCACATTTTGTCATAAAGCGACGGTACAATAGTAGTACAGTATTTACCGTTACAAAAATTACAATTTTTACGTGTATATTTTTATCACAGTAACAAAACCTAGAATGTATATTGTAAAAAATTATATATATTTTGGATGGAATATGGAATGGATATATGAAAACTGACAATTTCATTATTTCCAAAAAAATTATTGTACTGCGATGTTGCAATTTTTACTAGAGGTATAGTGAAACATACACAATTTATATAAAGTCAACTGCAGTCAAGTTATAAAATTCCTTTAATGAAGAAAATTTATTTGTTCCAAACTGTAAATTATAATATTCGAAAGAGATTGCAATAATCAATCCTTTTTTGTTTGTTTTAAACTATAAATTATAATATTCGAAAGATTACAATAATCATCCTTTTACAGAATGTATCTACATACATAACATCTTTGAATAAAAATATTATTTCTGTCGTAATATCAGTATTGCGAAATAACAAAGGCTTTATATTGTAATCTTTACCACAATATTGTCCCCATGTACTCTCGCACATGATAGAAAGACACGTTGTAAAAGGTTTATTATTGCATTTTACTTTTTAATCGTTTTTTTTTTTATAGTTGACGATACAGTATTCTCTTTTCTTTAGAATATATTTTCTTTTACACGCAAAACAGATATGGAATATCTTTTCTTCTTCTTAGAAAGTTATTGAAGGTAACGCTGCTTGAAAACTTAAGATAAACACTCTATACTTATCTTTTGTTCTTTGTACACCTTGCTCTTATATCTCGTTGCGTCTCGGCGTATCTGCGTGCAAATCTGCGCGTCTACGAGAAACGCCCGAGCTCGTTGTTCCTTCGTGGAATATATTTTTAACGGTGACATAAGAGCAAATGAAAAATATCGACCTTACGTGTTACGTGGGTGATATACGCTTGAATATATTACCACGCTCAGATACATATACGTATATGAATATATTGTAGAATGCCCATGAGATTTGACTCGATGTTCTCCCAATTCACGTCTCCTTCCCGCCGGCAATCTTATCGCGCGAGTAGATCTCTCGCTAAGTAATAATACGTTAATATTTTATACAAGTAGTCGAACCTTAGCTGCAGTTTCGTAATGTTAAATTTACTGCATTCATATATAAATTAATATTTTGACTTAATTAGACGTTCAACGTGAATATTTGAAAGTCTTGATTTTTATTAAGCAAATTTTGTTATAATTGAAAATGTTAAATATTTGTTAAAAATTGTCTATATCTTGCTGTTTTTTCAAATATTACGAATACACATCTACACGTCCCTTAATTTATCCTTTAAGTGATTTCCATGGAAACAACCTCTTGTGTAACTCTCTTTCGTCTATTTATTTTTTACATTATGCATGAATATTTTCCTCGCGCTCGCAAAAACATCTCGTTAAAATTAAAGTTCAACTTTTATATAATAACTAATAACCTGTTGTTGTGATATCTTGGAAAACTCTGAAACCCGAAAACAAATGTATAATCCTTCACGCGATTTCAAGCAACTTTTACCGACGGTAGTGTTCGACGACAAAAAAAAATGTGAAGAACACGTCGAGTTAACGAGCGGCGAAGGAAAAGTTTAATAACCGCTCTTAAGCGACAACGCGGGCGCAACAAGAATAATTGACGCAAAACCGCCCCGGCAATGGTTTTCGCGGACGTCGTGTTATGATTTATGCTTCATCGAGAACACGCCGGCCAACTCCGCGATGTTCGTGCAGTATTACTGTCGCAGTTTTACCGGCCATTAGCCCCATGTATGATGCATCCCTTTACGGTTTACCACTTTATTAACACTTCGGCCATCGCATCAAAGGTGTATGTGAATGTATTTGTACCGCCTCTCGAGACTTACGTTCACTTGTATATGGATGACAATCTCATTTTTCATTTATTTCGCATTTGTACTTGTCACTTGTACATCGTTAATGCGAATTGAGAAAGTTTTCTCAAGTCGCAGAACGATAAAAAATAAGCAATTTTTTGCGAGAATTAAAACAAGTCTTCAAGAAAGTATAGATGTAATTTGTATACGATTAATGTAAAGATCTCTCAAGTGTTACAGAAATTAAATGCTACAAAATTAACGTTTTCACTGCTCAAGTGTCAGATTTATGACGCCTAATTGTAAGATCTTTTACAAATATCTAAATATTGGGCAAAAAGGCTTTCATTAGGTACATATTTATTTATTACACTTCTTATTCATTCTTGGTATTTATGCTTCTTATAAATATTTAAGCATGAATTACTTCAACAAGGCTCAAACGACTTTTATAAATCAATATTTTATTCAATAAATATTTGCGACAAATTACACACATAATAAATATAATTACTTAAATTTATAATTAAAATAATTATATTTATGTGTCATGCATAGAATGGCAAGATAAAAACGATTTATCATTAAAAAGCACATCCTTAAGAAATATTCATTTGTTATCTTAATCTCTTTCATAATAATAAGATACCTTCAGAAATAAAACACAGAAAAAGTATTCTACTTAAAACGATGCGAGTGTAATAATATAACGATAACAAATATGATCTGTTTTTACAGGGAACCGTCCAATAGAGGCTCTCTTCTCGTCCAGACGTCCCTAAGGTTGTCTACGGTAAGTCTCCACGACACTTAAATCTCTTTTTTTTTTGCACTGCTTGACTCATAAACTGGATTGCCCAATAACAACGAAAGCAAGCAAACTTTTACGGTCCGTGTTTGTGCAGACAAGAAATTTCGCTTCTACGTGCAAATCTTCTTGAGAAACTCATTATGCTTACAAACAGTAATAAAATTCTCTGCAAGATAAATTAAAAATGAGTACCTACACTCCTGTCCTGTTGAGTTAAAATAAATAATAACGGTTACGGTAAATAAATGACGCTGAGAAACGTCAAAGTAGCAATTATTTTCGTACGTCGACAAAATAGATATTATTAAAATAGAAACAGACGTTAATTATATTATTAAAATAGAAGACGAGATAAAATAGAAATTATTTTTGCGCGTCGAGATAGAATCCGCGACTTGTCCTGCGTGAAAATCGCTAAATCCGGAGATCACGCGAATTAAATTAATTACAGTACGCAGCGAAGATAACGATATGCTAATTCGTACGTAAGGAGGACGAGTTGTTCCATGGCGTAAAGCCCCCGTAATTGCGAGCGCGACGACAATACGTCGCGCTGTAACGAGCCGAGTTACGGCAATAACCCGCGCCAACGGCGCCAATTAATTTATTATAACAATTCTACCTTTCAGTTGGTAAACAATACCGGCGACGGGTGGAATTATGCGCCGCGAGACTGCTGTGTCATGACTCGGCGTGTGCGTTTGCGTCCGTGTCTGCCCTGCCCCCGTGTGAGTGCGGCGCGTATAATAATTCCGTAGCGCCGTAATTAATTCGTCATTGATTGAAATGCACGCGAAATCCCGGCGAAACGATAAAATCCTCCATAAACTCCCGACTTGTTGTTTTAACGCCCAACGATTGATAAGCTCTTTTTGGAATTATTTGTTTTTTGAATTAAGCAATTAAATCGTCCTTTTGGAGAATTTTTTAACAATAAATATATAAAGATATTGAGAGAGCGAGAGAGAGAGAGAGAGAGAACGAGAGAGTGAGAGGGGGGAAGAGAGATTCTTTATTAGCAAAATCTGTGTTAAATTTAATGTGGAAGTTTCCTTAATAGAAAGGAAGAAGAAAGGATTAAATTCTAAAGTTATAAGCAACTGAGACTGAAGAACTTAAATCAAGTTCAACCAGATGGTAAAATCTTACTCTTCATTTGATGCAGAAAGATATCGAATTGAAGATTGAAAACTTGAGACAAATGATGAGATAATAAATTCTCGAGAGAAGACATTTTCTGTGAGATAAAAATTCGAAGAATGTATAAATAAATGATTTACTAGATTCGGAACGTTTTATTTTCCGAAAGAGTGATACGCGATAATTAGTAATCGACTTGGGGCCTTGTCTCTCGTCGTAACCGATCGCATTTCTTCGACATTCCAAGAAGCGTTAAACCGGAAACTGCGCGAGGATGGAATACGCGGCCGCTTGGAGAACTTGGTGTCTAATGGCTCGTAAAATTGAATGTCGTGCACGTCGGGTAGGAATAATAATTGATAATAACTACGAAGTAACGAAGATGCGACGCGTCACTTGCTTGCCAATCGTGATTCGTTCTCTGCTGAAAATTCTCGCGAATCTAGCAAGATAGAAAACGTCAATACTAAAATATTTCAGAGCCGAAGGAAACGTTCGCTTAAATATTCAATAATTTTCCATTATTTATTATTAAAGCCACTGGAACAAAATACATCATTCTTATTTAAAATATCGTAATTTATGCGCATGTAATAGATTTCACCAATATTAAAACAAAATTATACAATTAATACAAATATATTATACATACATGGTATGTACATACTACTAATTACATCTACTTTTAATATGAGAAACCGCCGAATTTGTCAAAATTACATTATACCCACAAAATTAGTAAAAAATGAGCATTATGTAACATTAATTTCATTAATTTTTACAGAAATTTTCAGATATATAATTGTTTCAGATTTTTGCGTTTTTATGTAATATTGTAATGAAGATACGCTGCAAATGCGATCGTATTATGTTACATAAAATATTCTATAAAATAATAAATCAAAAGGGAAATTTGACCTGATTTTATACATGGTTCTTTTTAAAGATTACTGTTAAAAATTAACTCAGATAGAAACAAAGCGAGAGAGAGAGGGGAGGATAGATTTTGAATCATAAAATAATCTTAAAATGAGTATTAACTACGTATAAACATTATATACATAAATATAATAAGATCTTTTAAATTTTACAAAAAATGCTTATTTTATTCACAATTGGAAAATAAAATTGTGTACTATATACAAAGTATAATAATAATTATTGCATTTCTCGACAATTTGATTCTCCGTAAATTTAAAATACATATTTAACTACCGACTACTTTATTCGATGTTACCGAATGATAGTGCGATAGTGTAAATATTATTTTTAAATAGTTATTTTATCGCGCGCGCAAGTAAGTTGGTGCAATTTTGGTCGACTGCGATGCGCTAACTGCGTCTGGAGTGCAATGAACGCGAGTTCGCGACGAGGTAGTCGAATAGCAGAAGGGTTAAAGAGGCCGCGGGGGGGAGTGAGATGTACACTGCTGCAAAAGCAACGACCGGGGCTGACCTGAATCTGCGGACGGTGCGATGAAAAGGGAACGACAAAAGCTGCGATCTGCGGCACGAGAGTGAAAATACGTAAAAAATAGGCCGCAAGATTCCCTCTCTCTCTCACACACACACACACTCTCTCTCTCTCTCTCTCTCTCTCTCTCTCTCTCGCACTTGTATGCATGTATTATATAAGCACAAAATGTGTACATATACAAATTCTATTTGACTCGCCACTGCTCCTATAACTTAATGATAGTTATTTTTAAATAAAACAGTGGAATTTAATCCAAATTTGAGTTAAATTTGAATTGTTTTAAATTATTTAACTCCATTGTTTTAATTAAAAATAAAACTACATATTAAGTAGAAGCAGCAGCGATTTAAATAGGGTTTTTTAACATTATAATAGTGTATAACATGCGCGCGCGCGCGCGCGCGCGTGTGTGTGTGTGTGTGTGTGTGTGTGTGTGTGTGTGTGTGTGTGTATACACATCATATATGGAGCATACATATTCTCCCTTCAGATTGTAACGTATGGTGTCCAATCGCTTCAGAGATCGGAGAGACAATTGTGGTCTGCGCTATTTAATGTTTAACTACTGATGCCGCGGTAAAAAAAGGGAATGATTTCCATTTGCGATATAAAAGCATGCAACCATTCGCATCGTGGGGAGAAGGTATGAATTTACTTTTGAATCAGTAAAAGAACACCATCTGCCGTAATTGAAAACAAACTTCCCAACACATAATTTCCGTAGAAAATAAATCCTCAAATCTGTAAATTAAAAAAATGGAGAAAGTCAGTTTTCCATTTTCTGTGGAGATTTACGTCTTCCGAAAAAGCCACAGAAAGTTCCGTGATTTCCATTTTTTAACTGTGGATTTGGAAATATAAGTTTCTCAATTTCTTGCGAATATAAACTCACAGGCAGCGCATGGGACAAGTGAAACGACGTCGAATAAAAAGGGTAAACACACGTATTATAAACCCTGCGCAAATCCCGTGCAAAAAACAACGCGCAGTTTGTTTTTAATTTAAGCGCAAGGCAAGATCCCCGAAGATAAAACGTGAAACGGGATAAATCGCGTTAAAGCTTCATATCTCCACTGCAGACGATTATTAATGTTTAACGTCGTCCCTCCTGCGCCCTTCTCATCCTTCTACGGCGCAAATTACGAGTAACATCACCCCGCAGACACACCGTCTACGGGGAAGTGGGGAAACGGGCAGATGGTGAGACGCGAGGGAAGGAAGGGAAAAGATAGAAAAAAAAAAGAAGGCAGACGATACCCGAAATTCGTCGGCGTAATCGAGATCGACGTTGTCGATGGTAAAGGTTGAAGGGTGTCGTAAATTTGTCCGTGAGACGCGAAGGAGTATACCTGCACGAGCGTTAGTTACGTCACCGCCGTCGAGGAAGCTCCGAAGATCCGAAGACACCCGGGCCGCCACTGCGGGGACCTCGGGACCGGGGCAAATTAGTTCCGTTCGAATTTCGTGTCGTAATCCCTGGGCACGCGAGAAACGTCAGAAAGAACGACGTTCGTATAAAGCATCCTGTACTCCCGGCTCCTCCCTCGGGGGATTCTCGCGAACGTGAGAGCTTTGCATGCCGCCCGATCTAACGCTCACCGTTGTACGTGCTTCCGATTTTTAAACAAAACATTGCGCGCGCACGCGCGCGGTCTGGATCGAAACATAAAACGTGCTACTCTTAGATTTTTTTTTTTATTAAAAATAGATTAAAAGAAATTACGTTATTCAGCGAGATATGAACATATAATAGTTAAAGATAAAAATAAAGTTTTTTTGGAAACATTTCAGAAACATTCTATTCTTCGCAATATTCCATTCTCTCTGATTTTTTTCATATAAGGCAGGAAAAAATGAATCCTCAGGATATATCAAGTTTATATCTGTATGTCTCGTGACTAAATAATATATAAGCATTATATATGTACATAAAAAACAGAATTATTATTTACGATCCCGCAAGGATTATAATTCATGCTTTCTTCTTTTTATTTCATGTCTTATTACATTTCCCTGCCGTGAGCTCGTTCGTAAAAAAAAATTGATGATCTTATTTTCAAATTCATATTAAAAAAATAAAAATTATGAAAGCTTTGCATTCTTTGCAAAAAAATATACTCACGGAAAATATACTTGTGTCACAAGTGCTGTTTTTCTTTTTTCGTTTTTACAAACACATAAAAAAAAGCGGACTTACTGCTCAGGAGTTTTCACTCGTGAAATATGTATTTCCATAATAAAAAACGATTATAATAAACTTCAAAGCAAAAAAACTTTGGGAGGGTAGTTCTCCAGTAACATCCATCGTATCGCAGAATCGAACTTTCCTCATCGAGAATGGAACGCGTAAAGATCGGCCGTAGAAC